GGCAGCGTTGATCCGGATCAACTCGGGAATTAACTGCAGTTGATCCGGATTAACTCGGACTTAATTGATCCGGATCAACGCTGCCGCCTGTTTATGCTTTTAGACTGCTCAGTAGAGAGTCAACATATGTATCAAAACATTTTCTTTTTTGGAGCAGGAATGTAAATCCAGAGCGTCTTAGGTTGAAATGGCGTTGCATATTATATATCACATTTTCGCAACCAAAATTGCATGGGGGAGAATGCCACGGAGAATGTCGGCATCGTAAATCCGGATTCCGGATGAACCCATTATTAATTCGAAATTAACGTACAATATTTCGTATCCGTTTTGAAATATTTGAGAACATTTAACATGCGAATACGTATTCGGAAGTAGCTGAGTGTGCAGAGGAACGAGGTACTATTTGCTAGCCTTCAGGCAGTATCGGGGTTTAAATGCTGCCAAATGCAATAAAAAACTCGTTATTTTTTTTCGAACTATAAAAAAATCATATGTAAAGTGCAGAAGAAAAGCTTATTCAACGAAAAATTTCAGAAAATCAGCGTCAAAGTCTCGGCAAATGGAATCCGTAAACAGACGAAAATCGGCATATCAGCATGTATAGAAAAATAAAAACGCATTTTGAAAATATCGATTATACTATTTTTATGTCCCAATAAAATTGTTGAACTTGATATTTATAAGGGTCTGACAGATTCTCAATTGAGTGAGCAAAGAATGGTGAATGCCGCTCAAGGCCTGTCGATAAGCTGACGGGTCCAGAGGTTGTTTGATGAACCTCTGGACTTCGTCCGCCAGTTCGTAGAGATGCCTCCTGACGTGGGTGAGAGCTCTTCTGCAAGCAGTTGTCTATTTGGGTGGCCACGTCGGTGGCTTCCAACCAAAAACTGCTTGCAGAGCATTGTGTTATGCTCTTTTACCGGGAGGATTTTCGCATCGTCGGTGTTCTGGCGACATCAGAAGGCATCCAGTCGCTGTCCGTAGTGCGGTGTTCTGCGTCGTCTGCAGCTTTATCCACTGCGTCCTACTAGTCCCCGGCGACCACACTGGTGCTGCGTAATTTAAAACCAGCCGGCCTATTGCCTTGTATGTTGCCAGCAACGTTTCTTTGTCTTTGCTCCAAGTACTGCCGACTAGCGACTTCAGGACCTTGTTGCGTCTTTGTACTTTGTTGACAATAGCGGTTGCGTGCGCAGAGAAGAGCAGACTGTCAAAGGTTACTCCGAGTATTTTGGGGTTATTCACCGTCGGAATTGGTGTATCATCGGCGAGAATTCCCAGCGGTGGCCTGACCTCCTTCGTCCAACTGGTGAACAAGGTCGCAGATGATTTTGTAGGGGTGAGGGTTAGGCTCCTGCAGTGAAGAAGCGAGAAAGCTCGGAGAGATACCCGTTTACTTTCGAACACAAGTCATCAATTCCGTTCCCAGCCGCCATGATCAAGCAATCGTCGGCGTAAGAGACAACCGAGACTCCCTCTGGTGGTTGAGGGAGCTTTGAAATGTAAGAGTTAAACAGTAGTGGGGAAAGGACACCACCCTATGGAACCCCCTGTTTTATTTTTCTGAGTTCGCTCGATTTGTCTCTAAACATTACCGACGAGTGTCGACCACTCAGATAACACCGAACACCGTTTGAGCGTCTATGGGAGAGAGGAGGCCTCTATATCTTCAAGGAGCGTGGAGTGGCTGACGGTGTCAAACGCTTTTGACAGGTCCAACGCTACAAGAATAGTTCTCTCACAGAGACGGTTGCGGGTAAGGCCACGTGTTATCTCAGTGTTTATGGCGTTAAGTGCCTCTAGTGTCTTCGTTACCGGGGAAAGGAGTGTTATCGGTCGATAAGATTCT